GCTTCTGGCATCAACAGTACTTGATGTACATTCTTAAAAAATACACAACATAAGACAGACAAATTACACCTTTTATATTCTAAATCTCCTTTTACTTGTCCTAAAGACCAGCAAATCTAGGTTTTATGATAATTAAATATGCTTCTTTCTGGATTCTACATCACATCTTTTTTCCCCCCATATTTTTTTCACTACATGATCCACACTTTCTAAAAAATGTGCTCTGTTTCTGGTGCAGGCCAAAGCTCAATGTACATTTTCATTCTGTCAGCCATCTCCCCCTCACCAGGGGTCCCAGTCTGTTCTCTGCTCCATTTCCCTTCTCCAACCCAATTTCTATCAGCAATCCAGTCTGTCCCTAAAAGACTGCTAATCTTTCTCACTTGACAAATGTTTTGTTTGTCTACCCCTCAATCTCCTTCATAAGTCCACTCACTATCCTACCTTTGACCACAGGTGGGTGCTACACTTCAGCGGTGGGTGAAATGAGTTTCCTTCTATGAGTAAAGTTGAGGGATGAAGAGCACTATAAAAAGTAAATGTAAATAATTATTTTTAGAATTATTACATTGTCACCCTGTGAATCAGCCAGCTCCTTACAGTAGATAAAACTGATAAGCAGAACAGAGGTCATACAGAGGTACCAGCTGTATGCCTATTTTAATCATATGCCAATACCTTCTGTCACAACAGGAACCCTTAGAGAAATGGAAAACAATGTTCTGCAGAGGTCCTGAGCCCATATGGGAAAAAATATTCTGAGAGTAAAGGCAGATAGTTTTATTGTGCCCTTAAGTAAAAAGAAACACATGCACGGGTTACTGTTTTCCAGCAGTGGATGAGAGGCTGATTATTTTTGTTCTAGTACAAGAACACCAGGCCAAAAGGAAACTCACATGTACATTCCCATGGATATTTTCTCCTATACCGTTTAAAGGAGTGCTCTATACAAAGCAGAAAAGCCCACTAATATCTGACTAAAGGTAAAAGCAACTGAAACAAGATTAATATTAGAAAATCTACTGCAAGTCAATATGTCAGAATGAACTTTGCTTTTTGTCCTCCATTTTCTCAGTTCCCCACAGACCTCAACAAGACATTCCATTATGCAATGGTTTACTTTTGCTCCACAAAGACACAGTATACAGTATTAAACCAAATGACTGTGGCCACTGCATTCTTTCTGTCCTGACAAAATCATCAGAAAGAATTGCAAAATAAAAAAAATGGTTCAAATAATTCAGAGGGACAACTTCTAAATGTCTGATTCAGAGCAAGTATTGTTTCAATATTAGACTGGAGGCTTATACAGTACATATATAAATATATATTTAGGGTGAGGAATGGTTGGCTCTGATGAGAAAAAGTATCTTTTTTTTTTATTTATGCAGTTCAGGTTTTAGATATTCTGATGTACCTATTTGTGATTCTTCTCAGTAATCAAAATGTTTTCTATCGTATTTTTGCTGCTAATAAAATATTTTGATAAGGTACCAAAAGCTATTGGTTTTGATGTTTAATGACTGGCTGGGATATACTTTGGGACTGTTGTTCCAATTAATAATTGTAATTAAATGCATTTATATTGTACTTCCATAGAATAATAAAGTCCTTTACACACAGTAGGTGGCCCAGTTCATTCATCACTGAAGTGCAGTCCCCACCTGGGAGATGTGTGTAGCCACAGTGCTAACACACTACACAGATTAGTCTACAAGTACCACAAGTGTACTACAAGTCTGACTAGACTGTGAATTTGGGATTGGAGTGTTTTCTAATGGCTGAGTGGGAACACATGGATTAAAATACTGCAAAGGAACAAGCAAAGGATTATTCCGTGCTGAAAATAGAAAGAAAAAAAATAAACATATTTCAGCTGTGGAGCCTTCTTCTTTGACACCAGAAAAAGGCTCCACAGCCGAAATGTTTTTTTCTCTTGTCTTTTCAGCATGGAACAAACCTTTACTTATTCCTTTACAGCCTACGCATTCTGACGCAGCTACTGTACCTACTTACAATACTGCATGCACAGAACTTCATTAAAAACAAACTGATACCGATACATAGCTTTAAACTGAAGAGGTCTTTAAGTAAACAACAACAAAACAAGAAATTAAAGTATAATAGGAATGGTGGTGGTAAAGAGCTGTTGCCTCAAAGCCCTAGACGTCTTGGTTTGATTAGGAATCGGAGCATCCTTTGTGAAATTTACACGTTCTCCCTATGACTGTGTGGGTGATATGGTTGCGTGCTATTGTCTCTTCCTGCCTCTCAAAACCAAACGGTTTCTAGATTGAATGGTGGCACTAATTTGTCCCTGTATATACTGTACAGTACTGTATGCGAGTCACTCACACGTCAATGGACTTGTCTCTCTCTTTGGGTGTTCTCATTCATTGCATCCTATTCTCCAACAATTGTTCCGGTTATTTATTGACTGTACATACTACCACCATTTATTATATACCGTTTTGTAGATGTACATGGTACATGCACTGTCTACAGTTCATGGTGATGTCTGTCATACTGTGTCATCTGCTGTACTGTGAAAGCTCAGAGAGAATGGCACAAATTCTGATGTACATGTACAAGCGGCAACAAACTCCTCTACTCTCCAGGACAGGTTACGGGTTGCCACAACTCTTACAGGGAATAAGCAGCTGTCAGATAATGGATGAGTATTGGATGAAAAACGATCCAGAATCAGTTATTAAGTCAGTATCTAGTACTAATATTAAATCACCGTCAGTTTTTATAAATAGACAAATGTGTTTTCTTTTCCCACATCAGTAGGAAAGATGTAAATAAACAAAGAGACTCCTTCTCACGGAAAGATCTGCAGTGATACAGTACTTTAAAAGGAAAACTTTAGTGTCTCCCCACGAAATCAAACAGCCTAATTATGAAAACATTTATGAAATCTCTAATCTTAAGAACGCAGCCATTTCCAGTCCTTTAAACAAACTGGACTGAAATATTGTGATGTTCTTTCAGTTAGGCATAGTTTACACCCTTGCTTTTAACGATAAAACTAAATAAATATTAGTTCTCTCAGAGCACTGAGTCATATAATATTTTGTTTATAAGACTGACATGAAGATAAAGTTTAAAGATAAACTGAAATAAAGATACACAGTATTAGTATTAGTCTGGAGATAATGTTCAAAGACAAAACTCAAATGTAACAAATAAAAGAGGTATAGCAATGACAGTTCTCTTATTGTTATCAATTTGTCAGCGTGAATGAATGAATCATGGTACTGTCCAAGATGCCAGACCGACGTCAATGAGGTAGATTAAGTTTAAGAAGCATAAGTCTTTAAATATTAGAATCTGGCTCAATGGAAAAAAAATGCTAATCAAAAGGTTTGTTTGGGAAAGTCAGTTTTAAAACATACAGTAATGCATTACAGTTACAAGTTACAGTTCCTTGTGCTAAGAATTTATTTTTTAAATTGCCAAAAGATTCAGGAAGTTTTCTTTAAAAAAACTGTCAGTTCCAGTGATCTATATACATGTTTATACTGTATATTTAATATGTAAAGTCATAAATTATTTCTTAAAAGTCATTTCCTATAAATTTAAAAATGTAATCCCTTGCATAAGTATTTTCTGACTGTATTGCTTTTCACAATGCTAGAAAATGATTTATTTTGATATTTATCCAGAGGAAAAGTATGTGAAACACAATTTACACTCTCATTTAATTATGTACATAATCACACCTAAATATCCTTAAGAAACAAAGAGTAAAGCTGGAACGTAAGGTTATTATCTAAGTCAAAATGGGAATCTGTGCAATCTGACAAATTTCTAAATCTACATTCATAATGTATTGTGAACACCATTCAAGTGAATAAACTCATTTTTGTCTTTCCCTTCAGCAGAGATTAAAGCACATCTTCAAAGTAAGGAAGCGCTATCACAAAAAAAGTGTTTTTTTCTCTCTCGCCAGCCTAAATTCTCTTCAAGTCATGTGCATGCCAAAATGTGCTCTTGAGAAAAGTCTCCTGAGCTGGCAATGTTCTTCTGAACTTTGTACTTAAAAAAACATTAAAAACATGAGAATCTCATAGCACAGGCTAAACGTAGCAAACACATGCCTTACAAGGAAGTTTGGCTGAAGATGGAAAATGAACAAAGCAGTAATCCAGGCTCTGAAGCAGTTACTCTAAGCTCCTATACTAGCCGTAAATCAGAGGAGCTGAACCTAAAAGACAAACACTTCTATATTTAATTCTGTCAAACAGCAGAGTCAGTAGCTTTACGTGTGCAAGATAAAGTATAATAACAACTCATAAACCCTATAACCACCCAAAATACGTTAAGAAAATCAAGCATGTAACGATGTACAATATATATAGGCGCTCAGCGGAAAGCTCTGTAACTGAGAATAACCTTGGTGTTGTGATCAGAATACAGCAGGCTTTTTCTTTAGTTACATATTTAGGGAGCTAAAGCTGCTTTTTTAAAAAAAAAACATTCTTATCAAGTGTGTTAAAATGTTTTAAATCAGGAGAAGTCGCAACTAAAACATCACAGGACATGTCAAATGAGCGTAGGTTATCAAATACATAATTGTATCAAAAGAATAACATTGCTTATGATGGAGGTGGCAAATTTTGGTCTGCTACTGTAAGGTTATTTAAAGATATACTGTATTTCTTTGAAATCGCTAACTCATAAATATAGATGTTTAAGTTCCCTTCATACTCATTTTCCTTTCTGTTGTGCATTTTTCTTTTTGCTGATGAAAATAATTAATGTGACCCTGAAGCTACATTTTATTTTCTGTACGTTCCTGTACATGCTTTGCAATCAGATAATACAAGCAGATCAGGCTGATTAAAGAGACTGGCCAAGGTTAAAACAACAGTATGTTTTTTTTTCCTTGCTAGAAAGAGACCTGTGTTAAGCTGCTATTGCCAGTGGGGTAATTGTAGAGGTCCCATATAGGTCCTTTTTTGGGAAATAAGGAAGCAAATATTTGCTTAGCTCACTTTCTGTTGTTGGGGTTGTGCTTTTGGTCTTTTTTGTTTTCTTGTCGGCTGGGGAGGAAGAATTTGTCGCTGAAGGATCTGCAAAACAAGAAGACGCCACAGAGAATCTGAGCCCTTATTCTTGGTAACACAGTATCTAACAATCAAATATTGTTTTTATCGTCTTCGATATAGTAAGACAATTGTACAAAATATTTGCTAAGATTTTATCTGAAGTATTGGAACAAGCAGGGATTGCAGATGTGCTGTGGTTGCCGGAGCTATTCCACTGCTTTGTTAGACTATAACTATATGTTTTCTTTATATAATTTAAGAATAATGCAGATGAATTAATCGTGCTGGCACGAATCTGATTTTAAATGATTTCCAGTGATCATTAATAAGTGAACTAGCCCTTTTAGTTTCATACATTAATTCTGTAAAACCCAACGATGACAGTATTATTGTTGCATTTATACTTGCTGTCATTCACTGCATACAGCGCAATGGAAGAATCCCAATATGTTTAGAATGAAAACAATGTTCCGCAGTAATAAAAACCAACAAAACAGCACAGTCCTAACCTTTATTTCTGCTAATTTAAACTTACTACTAAACAATGGAAATAAACTAGATTAAACTACCACACCAAGAGAAAACAATCTTATATTTGAATCTCCCCTTACGAACTTCAGATTTTAATAATGCACCCACAAGATTTGTGAGGGCTATAGAGAACAGAAGAACAGCTTAAATGTGAGCAGATAATGCAGTTAAAACTAGCGACAGGAATGTACACCTCTTTGGTTCAGCAGAGGGGTATGAGAGAATGCAAAGGTCTGCAGAGAAAGCGCATTAGGACGTGTAATGACAGGAAGGAGATGAGCTGAAGATTGGCTCAGGGGAATTTGTGTTGGATGTCACTGGAGGCACTTACCATCTACAAGCACTGTGCAACTGCATTCAGCCTTCCCCGCAGAGTTCTCCGCTATGCACTTGTATTGGCCTTCATCTTCTGGCAGGGCTTTGTCAATAGTGATGGAGCACAGGCCTCCTAATACAGATCAGCATACCATCAGTACTGTGAACTTAAATTATCCGTATGTTTCGAAGTTCAGAAATTATATGCATGTTGTATCTTTCACAACTTACAGTGCACTGAGTTAAACTGTAAGCAATACTGAGGTTTCAGTGCCTACAAAATGAGATAGGGCACAGATTTACTATTTAGGAAGGTATACGGTAGTATAACCTATAGTTTTACTTATATTAATAGCGTTCATCATAGAAACAGAAAACAATTAATTACAGCACATACGTATCTACTGTAGTTTCCATTTATACTTGTCTTTTTAGTTTGGTGTTTTATAAATGATACATTATGATATAAGTTATGTTTTATAATGGAGAGTATAATAGGAAGATTATGGTTGATTTAGAAAGTTTCACTAGTGTTTACTGTAGAAATAATGGAGCAGTTCACCCTTTCTGAAAAGATGAATTGAAATTGCCAAGCTTTCGTTCTGAAATCTCATGGTGTTAATGAGGCCAAAACATTGCAACACAACTGTATACTGTAACCAGCAATCACTCAACCAACACTCCTTCTACTGGCATAGAGTAAATATGAGCAGAGTATTTTCAAATTAATTAGGTGTATATTAAAAAATTCAGTCACTAGATGTTGTTTGACAAAATAGTCACTGTGAGTACTGCTATGCAGTTTAATGCATTTCCCTTATGGTATCCATATCAGCCCTGTCTAATGCTGGATAATGATAATGTAATGAACCTCGAAAGGGACTCCTGGATCATATAAAGCCATTTAGTTCATCAAAGGTCACACAGTTGTGGAATTAATTTCAGCCTATGTACAGATCCAATATACGGGCTACATTACCTTACTAAATTACATAAGCATCTGTTACATTTTTTTAAGTTTTCTTCTTCTAACCTATATAAACTATTTGTATAAATTTGATACAAATATTGTTACAGCACAATAAATGATTTCAAACAGGAAATCACTGCATTTTAAACTTCTTTGCTGTGTCTATGGTCAATTTTCTTAGATTAATTATTCATTTGACACTATAACATATCCAACAGACTAGATCTCAGTTACACATGTATTACCTACCACCAACTCCATTGGAGTGACAAAGACCATTCAAATTATTTTAATAAAACAATCACTGCCTATTGTGCCACTGGTTTTCTCTGGCAGTGTTTTAGAAAGATTTTGGTACATTTGTCTTACAGGTTCCTTCTGCCACATGTCCCTCAACAAAAACAGTATCTGGGGAGAAATATGGGACAGCTCCAGAAGGGTATGCAAAATCTGACCTGATACCTGATAGATTTATTGATTGACAGATTGATCACTCATTTCCACCTTACATATATTTTTAACTTCTGACAACTTTATGCAGAAAACTGTGACCAGACATATATATCATAACTTCTCTACAGACACTGCATCAAAAAAGAATGAAACATAAAGCATAAAAGTAAAAGGGGAAATCATGTTCTGTAATTTTTGTTCTGTTATCCATGATACCATTCATTTTGACAGGTGAAATATGCGTGTACTGTATATACAGTACATAGAAAACTGTAGCCACATAGCCAAAACAAAATGCAACTTAATGTTTTTCCAATGTATTGAAGGATTTGAAAGAGTGGAAAATACTGTACATAACAGTGAAAACAACTGGCAAGGATCAGTGCTGGGCAGACTCAGGGAATCCTCTTTCTATTTCTGCACTGTCTATTTTTATGAGAACAAAACATGCTGTATATATCTACCACAGAGCAGATTAATTTCAGGCAAAAGCTAAAATAACTTAGGGCAGGACTGTTTTGTACATGTGTGGGGCTTAAATATATCAGTGACACGTTTTAGCTGCTTAAAGAAGAAAAATCCTAACTCTTAATACACTTTACTCTTACTTATAAATTACCATGCTATTGGGTTCCAACAATTAGAAGCTGACATAAACATTGGTCTATAATTTAGAACAAATGACCTTTTTACATATATAAAGCTATCAATTTCTTATATGGTATATTAAGTAACAGTGTAAATACAGTACAACAGAACAATATAATTATGCATGCAAGTCTTTACAAGACATTTGCCTCTAGCAGTCACAGTGAAATCTTAGATTACGTTTAGGCTTTTTACTTCTAGTTAATATAATCTAATTAAGAAAGGATATTTAAGGATTATTTAAGAATTGTACATTACCTTCTTGGGACAGAACAATAAATTTGGAGGGCTTAATGACTTTCCCATCTAGACTCCAGGTTACCACTGCTGGTGGATCTGAGTCAAGCTGACACTGTAAACGCAGGCATTCCCCATCTACCACCTTAACGTCACATAACTTCTTTGTAAACACAGGTTCTTTCCCAATATTGTTATTTTTCTTTTCGATAATCCCACCGTCCACAGCTGGACATCCATGCTCACAGTTGACTTCATTCTTTTCCTTCTCCTTATCTGCTCGGGGTTTTCGCATCTCTGCTTCTGCATTGTTGTTGCTTTCAGCTGCCGGCTTCTTTTTGGCAGCAAGCACAGACCTGAAATCTGGTGCTGCATTTTTGGCTTCACTTTTTTCCGGAGCAGATCCCTTTGGAGCGACTTTTTTTCCCAAAACTCCTCTGAAGTCAACCTGCTGAGGGCTGTGGATTTTCCTTTCCTCTTCAGACAAGGTCTTGGGTTTGACCTGTCGCTGGAGGTTAGCCCTGAAGTCCATTTGCTCTGCGGATAATTCCTTTAAGTCCTCCTCAGAAAGGCTTTTGGTTGTGACCTTCCTTCCCAAGACCGTGCGGAAATCAAGCTGCTCGGCCTCTTGCTGCCTGATCTTCTCCTCACAGCGCTCCTTGGTCTCCACTCTCGTCTTCAGCAGCCCTCGCACATCTGCGTGCTCCTCTTCTTCTGCACACTGTGTCTGCCTGGGACTCTTTCCTGCAGCTCCAGCTCGACCAGGTCTCACAGTCCCATCTGCAACTTCTTCCTCTGTTTCAGAGGGCTCAGCCTCAATCTCACTTCAACATGAATGGTGGGGGTGGAGGGGCAAGAAAACAGGGAGGTTTAGAAGACTAGAGAGAGCAGGCTCAGCCCACATCTAAAATAGGTTAATTAGCAGAATACAATTCATTACTCTATTGCATCAGTGATGACTTCAGTAGCCTTATAAGGAAACAACAAAATGATAGAACCTACCCTGGCTTTGAACAATAGCACAGCTGTATGAGGTAAACAATTTGTTTGGTCACATTTGGGGATTATGTTGATTTAAAGCCAGACTGGATCTGGCAGGGGGAGTGGAGCAAAAATAGAACCTGTTCATGGGCTGCCTGAGAATTGTTACTTACATTTGGTAAGCTTCCTCACTGGATACTGCCCCCTCTCTGACCAACAGAGTTACCAAGCAGCTGCAGTCTCCAACTTTATTTCTGTGGAACAGTTCAGAAAGTTAAAACAATACAGAAGAAAGGGACCCTTAGTACATTTTATTGGAATATATATATACACAGTATGTACAATTTATATTTTTTTCCCTCTTGCATTACTCAGCAAATGGTCTGTATGATATTCAGGAAGAACACAGCATTCCATACAGCTGCGGGCTTTCTGATGTTTTGTGCATTTTCTTTCAACTTTGTCTAACTTACACTTTTGAATTCACTTAAGCTAGGCTCCCCTCATTCAGCCATTACACTGAACTATACAAGCAATAACCATTCACCACAAGCCTCCAAGCAACTATGCAAAAATGTTAAATGTGCAAACCATATATGGTACTAAGCATCTTCTGTACTCTTCTTTCTGTGGGGAATACCACAGATACTTTCACAACTGTCTCTCATTATATTAAATGGTTAAGTACTTCCTCTGGTTTCTCTCAGCACCAAAATATTTTCACGGCCATGTTTACTCAAAGTGGGAAAAACCTTACAATTCATAAACACAACTAATGTTTTCGTCCCATGACAAATTCAGAACAGGATGCAGAAACGTTTAGTATAGGAAAGAGTTTTAACAAGGAATGAAAGGGTTAGGTTATACGGGCAGTTATTTTTATTGAGTTTGATATATCTCGGCACCAAATTTCAAAATTGAAGCTTCCTTTAAAGTTGGGATTGACACATACTTCAACTTTATCTCGTAGTCGCCGGCGTGATGGGGTTTCACTCTTCTGATGAGCAGAGAGACAACATCTTCCTTTTGCAGGATTTCATAATCTTCCCCTGAAGACAAACGCTGCCCATCCTTCAGCCATTGGAAAGTGGGGAACGGATCCCCAGCAATAGCACCAGAGAGGAGAACATGCTGTCCCATGCTGGCTGTCACAGACTTTGGCTTGGTAATGAACCAGGGCTGGACTCCATCCTGAGGTTCTGGCAAGGGGAAAGACAGGAGCATTGTTTAATGTTGGTTCTGCTACATTGGTTCAGTATCAACTATAAACCGAAATTTAACTCAAAGTCACCAAATATCAGGTGTTTTCAAAACATCATACTGACTTTTGTCCCTTTCAATACTTCTTTTCAAATGGACATCTTGAGTACAGTGATATTTTAATGCACTTACATAACCTTATATTTCATTTCTTATTTCCGGCTCTCCTGTCCTTTAATTGAGATATTTTAAAGTACCCCTATTTAGATATTTAAAAAATTCAATCTGTACAATTATTCCAAATTATTCATATATTCTAGCAAAACATTGAGATCATTGGTAAAGCACTGAGAAACACAGATACAAAAGCTGAGATTACATTAGCTCAATTTTTAAAACACTTAACCACTGTGAAATCATAATAGATTTAAAAATATTTAAAAAGTACATGTACAATTTACAATATACATGAAAGATATGTAAAGTTCCCTTTCTAAAGTTTTAAATGCAAAATCATAATACAGTATGTTATTCTGCTTGTGTCCTGGCTTTAGTGAAATGAAAACAGATACCCTGCACAGTGAGTCTGGCTTCTGTGCGAGCCACACCAAGCTCATTCCACACCTCACAGGTGTATTTCCCCGTGTCTTCAGGAAAGACCTCCTGAATGAGAAGAGTGTATTCATTTCCACACTTCTTAAAGTGAAAGTCCTCTGACTCCTGGATTTCTTTCCCATTGTGAAGCCAAACTATTTCTGGTTTAGGATTAGCTGCAAAATGATAAATGTACAGTAAGTGAAAAATGCACCCAGCATATTTTGCTGAAAACTACTGTATTTAGTCTGAGATTAAATCTTGATTAAACATTGATACACCAACCAAATGTGTAATTTAAAACCCAGTGCTTGCTGTTCCCCGGAAGCTACTTTGATGGGAAAACTGCCACTGAATTCTAAATCCATATTTTGTCAATGGGTCTATATTTTGATTTAATCAAAGCCTTAGTTTCTCTGCCTATGATAGATTTGTCTCTGGAATTCAACTGAATCTGTGTGATCCTTTATTTGTTTCTGTTTTGGAATTTCGGAAATTTGACAAAATGTATAAAGAATACAATTAAGTTTATTTTTCGCCCTCTGTAGCTCAACAAATATCAATAGATGAACAAAAACACAATATAAATCTTGTTTCTTTCCCTGGAGTTTATTCAAATTAATTCAAAACATAAGTTGACTTAAATACCAACAACTGCAAAAAGACATTTTATTATGTTAATGTAGTTGTCTAGTAATACTGTAGTTTAATGGCAAACTGCAATACATTATGAACTATGAAAATCTAGTCATAAGACCTATAACCTATAACAGACATTTTACACTATAGGAAACTTTAGCACACATAAAATGACCACACAGATTGAACAATGAAGCACAAAAGCTATTAATTGAAGTAAGAGGCACTATTTGCAGAACATGATGTTACATATACATATATTCGCTTGTGTGCAGAGACAGAACAGCGAATGCTAAAAAGTAAACTTACTTTTTCAATATCATTGGTCTTATTACAACTATTTTGTTCCAATAATTAATCTTAATCTGAAAAAAAATAGACAATTATCAAGAAACTCTTTGACAAGAGTGCCTTACCTGTCACCTCAACAGTCATACTGACTTGGCCTCCATCCATGACTTGAAGATCATTCAGGCCTTTGAGGAACACTGGAGCGAATGTCTTTTTCTGTTCTTCAGCATTTGAGGCCTCGGTTTTCTTAGCTGTTTGCTTTTCTGAACATGCACACAAGAAACATATTTTTTATGTGGTTCACACAAGATATGAACTTACTAAAATATATTTTAAACCCCTGATACATACAGTAGTCCATTACAAAGTAGCAATCGGTCCAGGCAAACATAGACATATAAAGACATGTTAAGTCATGACTGGAAAAAAAAAAGGCTATAGACATTAGGTACACAAGTATTTAAAATATATTTGAGTCAATAGGTTAAGTTGTCTAATAGTGAATAGTTTAGGGTGTATGAATTCAAATCATAGTGCAACAGGTATGTTATGATGAAGTCAGGCACTAAAGGAGCAATCATGTTTCTATCTAATCTGGAGCATGTCAGCTGTGCTGTCCTTCATAATAAAGAGAAAGGAAGAATAGACAGAGTGGAAGGCAATTATTGACCACAGGCTACAACGGCTGTGTCTGATTACCACCTAGAAGTGAAATCACATGAAAATTGTTCTGTTGCTTTGAGAGAACACAACAGAATAAGAATTTCTAAGAACTGTCTGCCTTGAGGCCTCAAACTTCTTGGCTGTTTTGTTGTCTGAACACACAAACATATTTTTCTCCTGCTGTGGAGGAAGCTGTATCTACTTGGAATCAATGTCTTCTTCCCAGTGTGCAAATACAACACATTTATATTTGCTGAAAAACAATCACTTTTCACAAACAGGAGTGTTAACCCCGATGCAGTGCGTATATCCCAAAACAGGTTATAGAATCTGGCTTCATTAACATCCGCCTCAATTTTGGGCCATGTCTGTTTCTTTTCTCTCCCTTCAGAGGATATTTAAATTTCAGACACTTCCTGGTTTGACAGAGATTTTATTTCCATGAAGTACCTTCATCAAGTTACTGTTCTTCCTTTGTGAGGTATTAGGATCCATGCTTCCAGTGCTTCTCAATGATGGAAGCAACTCATGGAAAGTAGGCTCTGCATCTACAGTATCTACATACTGTACAGTACATACTGCACCTCATTCCTGAGGCTCTACTTTTCTAATAGGGTATGTCTGTTCCATTGTTTCTCCATTAGTTAGAAACTTCCTATGTGTTTTAGACTTTATTTCAGAGTACGATTTGAAAATACTTCAAAATGGATTGCCAGGAAGCTAAATTTAACTTTTAATTTCCCAAGCATTTGTGTAAGACATGATTAACATACCGTATATAAACTTTATAAACACTCACAATGTTCTGGGAGTAGCATTTTCAGATAAAATAATCACACGGGAAAGCAAAAGATTTTCCCTGGTCCATCAAATCAATTTTAGTACAGATATCACAGAATTGTTTGAAATGTAATGACAAAACCATACCAGATAAATTCACAGAAAAATAACTTCTCATTGATAAGCACAGCTTGTGAGTGAGGGTAGAATCTGGGCTTTCATCCAGAGGCCACGGCTTACAAAAAAAAAAAAAAACACATCTGAATATAAACACATGGAGCAGTGTAGATCAATATGGAACCCTGCAGTGGAAGAACACCCTAAATCAGGTTTTGACTAGCGTTTGGATCCTGTACATTTGTCAGCAACCTTCATCATTCTTGTTATTTCACAAGGCTACATAAACCAAGCAATGAATGATAAAAATAAAACTATTTGCATTTCAAGCCTGCTAAGGCAGACTTCAGATGTAAGAATAGAATACATATTTTCTTTGACTTCATGATATATCTGTTGGATTCTAATGGGCTAAAACAGCAGTAAATTCAGTCTCTTACGTCTAGATTAATGCTCATTAGAACACTCAGAATTTAATCCACTGTGAAATCTAGTTAGGGTCTGACATTAGTTATCTGCAGTAGCAAGAAGACAAGGCAATTGTCTTGCAGTCCAAGTTTATTGCTGTTGTAATGCAAGAATAATTTTTATTTTTTTCTTTAAAAACTGGATCCTCCTTTCCTCCTTATCATTCCTTAAATCAATAGTAAAATCATGGATGCTGCACATTGGTGGTGGTGGGGGGGAGTCCCCATTACCTGTAAAGCGCTTTGAGTGGAGTGTCCAGAAAAGCGCTATATAAGTGTAACCAATTATTATTTATTATTATTATTACAGACACACAGTGATTATCTTTGCACCACAGCTAACTTGTAAAACAAGCCAGAAGAAATGTGTGCTTTCTAAGAGTTTCCTATTTCATCAGAATGTGTTTTTATAATTCATTGAATGATGTCAAAGGTAATCTAAATGCAGTAATGATGCATTTATTTAAATATTTTAATAAATAAATATAAACATGCAAACAAATAGCCTACAGGAATTGGGTGTATGAAAATGGAATTACATTTTGTATGTAATTCCTAATTCCTGTGGACCTTCTGTTAAGATTTAAATACACTAAGCACAGCAGTACTTCAGTATACATTCAGATTTGAAGACCTATGTAAAGCAGTTATTGCTACTTTTATTACTGGCATACAGCTTGACAGGTTACTTAAATACCTAATAATACATTATTACTGATACTGTACATGAAGGGTATGTAATACTTATTTACTGTTGATGAAAGCTAATTAAGTACCTAGACAACCTTTATAAAGTGGTTATTTATCATGTGTTAAGCACTAGTATATCATTTACACATGCCTTATGTACCTCCTATTCTCAAGTGTGACTAATGTCTTTTAACACCCTACAAATGAAATGAAAAGTTACAGAAATGCATGTGCTACAGCTACAGACAAGCAAGGAAAAAAAGTGAAGGAAGATTTCCTCAAATATTCTTAGCATTTTAATACATCATAAAGAGCAGCTGTACTTGCATAGTAACCCACATATTTTGGGGAGGCAGAAAGGATACTTTTGAAAGCAGTTCAGAGCCACAGACAAATCCATTAAAAATTGGACACATTAAAGCAACAATCACTTCATTGCAATCCATCAACTTCATGTAAATAGCAAAGACATAAACGACTGACCAAAATTAATCTGAAATGTTCTTTTCACTCTAAAAAAGTGAAAGCAATCCATTAATTCAATTAAAAAGATGTTATCAGGTGCTGCTTTCCTATGTTTACTTGCAGCCTAAAAAAATAATGACCAAGCAAAACGTCTGTGTCTTTGTTCTCACTGACTCACATTGACCATTTATGGTGTTTGGTTAGACGCTGGGGCTCAGGGTTCATAAATCTAGTCAGTGAACACCAGGACGTAAGTCAAAGAAAGAGCCATCTCAAAAACCAAACGGACAAGCTGTAGTGTTTTCCTAAACACATCTCATTTTGTATATACATATTTAGCATACCGTAGGGGGAGATCCAAGATTTAGTTTCCACTAGACAACTTAAACAAAACTGCATGAGCTCCGTTTTAGAAGAGCACATAAGAAAGTCTGCAAACAGAAGTATGATATTCGGCCCATGATAGGGATTACATCGGTTTCAACAACATGGCTGGGCAGCTTGATCCAGACTCCTACAACCCTAAGTGTAAAATCATTCTTCCTGCTCTTTGTTTTAAATGTACTTGTTCATAGATTCCCGTTATGCTCCCTGGTTCACGTTTCATTGCTGATTCTGAAGACATGTTGATTTTGGCAATGCCTGTGAGCATTTTAAATACTTGAATCGGTTCCCATCATAGTCTTCTGGGCTCGAGACTAAAAAGGTTTAAGGTTTTAGCCCTTGTGAACAGGAATGTATGAGATTACTCACCAAGAAACTAGAAAATATCAAATAGAATATTAAAATACTATCTGCGTGTCACAGTAGCTGAGTGTCTGCTTTAAGCCTAAAAGACTCCTCATTAAGGCTCTCAAGTATTATACAGTACTTACCATACAAGACACCTTAACATTTAATTTACAATTAGAAACATATTCAAAAACTGTATTATGAAAGGACGAAAATATATATCACAGGTGCAAGAAATTCATGAATGAAACAATATACGGTTTTAACATACGCCTAGAAAAAATGCTCCTTTATATATGTGGCACTTTTTAGAAAAAAAAAATAGATAGTCCAAAGATGCTGCAAGTCATGGGAATGAGTTCTCATACTATGTCACACTCTCGAGATCATAGCAGATACATAAACCACAAATGAAGAATATATCCTGTCATATCTGTTACACCATCTCAGTTCTTTCCACTCTTTTAGAGCACAACAAAGACCTAGAAAATGCCAAAGACCAAACAAGGACTTTAGGCCAAACCTTAATACCTATAATTATATACTGTATATTGAGCACGTAAGAAAAGCTGTCAGTTGGGTTTCTCTTCCTCCTTTCCTTCTGAAGGTGATGGGACCTTATAGGCCCTCTAGGGGCATGACAGGCAGAATGCAGCTTCACAGATTCAAGCACTGCCTTTGTCATAGTACAGAGACTTACAAGGCGAACAGAAAACTAGGTCCAGTGAAAGAAAGAAAACCCTCTTCACTCTAATTCCACAAACACTGGCTTCTGAAAACAACCCTATACAAAAAACAATGTAGAAAAGGAATCTGCCACCACTATCACATTACTGCTGTTAAACAGTACTATACTGAAATACTAGTTCATCTGAATACATTATTACCAAATGATAGCATTGCAACAAAGAGAAAAATCAGGTTGAGGGCTTTTTCTGGGTTTCTACTCTCATGTGTATCTCTATTCTGCTATTTCGTTTTCAGAATTAACCCTTTAACACATTATTCAATATTTAGTATTCCAGAGCAATGGAGGATGATAATAGTCCTGGCCATTGTAGTATTTTTCTTTGATCTACAAAAGAAAATCTGCATATCAGATAATATATCAGGGATAAAAACAATAAAAGATATTTAATATGATTGTCTATGCTTTGCTTTTATAAAAAGCAAACAATACACAGGATATCAAAATGACCTTACCTGTTGGAATTCATTTATTTTTACACATGGCACAATACAGAATTTCTAAACATCATTCATGCCCGTTTTCAGCACAGATATCCCTTCTTCATCTGAGCACCCACTCATTAAGAGCTGAACCTGTGGTTTCTTCCTTGCAATCATAAGCTACTTCTCTCCAGACTTAATAAGTGACGGATAATCAGATTTAAAAGGAGGTTAAAATTACTCTGGAGAAGCAGCCCAGATCCAGCACCACAGGGGATAAATGTCCATGCTGTCAGACATGTGCCTACTAGGAATTCCAAAATAACACCAGCTCAGTAACTGCTTTGCTTTCATTTGAATTAACATAGGCTCTCTTTAACAATTTTCTTTTTCAGTGTTTTTGTATACTTCTTTATTAAAAGCACCAATAATAAAAGAATCGCTTGCAAAGGAATATTAACTTTTAAAAATCTCAACATCTATCCATTCTCTTTCCGCTTGATCCAATTCCGGGTCGCGGGGGAGCCGGAGTCTTTCGGGTGCAAGGCAGGGTACACCCTGCAAGGGATACCACTTCATCGCAGGAACATACAGACAACACTCACACATTCACACCAGGGTCAATTGTTCTAGAAGCACCTACCAGCATATTTTTGGACTGTGGGAGGAAATCGGATCAGCCGGGGACAACATATGAACCAGTGATGAGAGGCAAAAATGCTAACCACTGCACCACCATGCTGCCCAAAATCTCAACATACGTTGCTTTATTTTTTCTCATTTTTTGCCTAGAGGTACAATTTACTTCTATACATCATCGTATAACCTCTAGCCTACTTTGATGAGAAATACACTGCCTCCTCTAAGCTTAGCTAGGGATCAGGATAAATTACTAAGCTCTTAGTAATCAGTTTCTCTATTCCCCCTACTAGCTACAAACACTAGGCACTAAATCCTATTGGTTTAAAAAACAATATTAAAAATAATTTAAACTATTTATAATCAAAGTTTCTCGAGTTTCAGCAAAGACAATGCTTTTACCCTACAGATAAATTCTGTCTTAATATACATTTTTTTTACATTTTTTAAACGTACAGGTGTTTTTAAAAGTGTTTCTTCTTCTTTCTGCTATTGTTTTGATCTACAGTATCTAGTAATAACTCTGTAAATTTCTCTTGAAAACTCAAAACATAAGATCAGTAACAGTGATGACAGAATGGTTAACAAAGATGAATAGTAGGAAAGAGAAAGGGCTTTTAAAGGTTAGAGTAGATACTAAAGTTATGATTTTCATCATATTATTAAGCTCTACTGACCTTGAAATAAAATGTACTACTTCTAAAAAACATCACTGTCATTTATTTGTTATTCCCATGGATATGGGGGTTCATATGACTAAGAAAACAAAAAAAACACTTCTTAAGGCCCTGACATTTATGATATTTTTGGCTTATCTGCAGTATATTCTGTTGAATAGTTTCCTCACAACATCTTGACATTCTGCATCAATGACTAACCATTTCCTGTTATATTTTTAGTACAAACACAATATTTAAT